AATTTTCTTATTATTCTCTTTCATCATCAAAGAGAACAGGGCAGTTTTCACTGCTAGAGACTAACTGCACCACATCAAAGATATTTTCATTTCTCCCATGTTTTCACTTAGCTGCCTTTAAAATTGTTTTTACTTTTTATTCTCTGGTACATCTTTTCACCATTTTCACCGATAGGCTCTATCGGCTTTTTGTAATTAATTATCAATGGCTGCATAGTTTTTACAGAAAGTCAGTGTTTCAGCTGGGACCTATAAGAATAATTGTGCCTAGCACATGCTTTGTTATGTGAATGGGACTTAAATTCCTACATAGGTCAATGCCACCCAGCTAAATAAACCGTGCTGTCCTCAGAGGGTTAGGCAGTGAAGTGCTGATTGTACATGCAGAGGGAATTTTATTAAATAAGGCATGTGACTGATTCAAAAAACTATATTTGGTCCAAAACTAAAGCCAGAATGTGATGGCACCAGAAAGAAAGTGTGAGGTGTGGTCACCAGCGGATTCTGGTAATGTCAAGGGCATCCTTGCAGTCCACCTTTTTCACTCAGGAGAAGCAGCAGAAGACAGAACAACTCCCACTAATACATGCTTTTATATGTTTCATGTTTATCAAATAGCCAGGAACTAAAAAGCCCCATGAAGAGTCCCAGGTCTGCAGCTGGTACCATTTGTGAGACCTTGGCTCTCCCTGGTTTTCATTGGGAACTGGTATTATTAGTTACTAACAGCAGTTATGTGACAACAATGGATGTACTGACAACTTGTCCCAAGGCATTTATTGCAAAATATTAATACTGAAGACATACAATCCTATTTGAAATAGTTTCAACATTGGTGTGCTGGGGTCATTCTTCTGTGTTTGGTGAAAGCACAAATACACACCATAAACAATTGTGAAAAAAAAAAAAAAGAAGTTTTAAACCAAGATTTACAGCCAGATGCCAATACCACAGAGTCATGTTTTGACAGGAAATTAATTCCAGAGTCTAGGGGTTAAACACATGTTTCAGCTCTGAGAGTGGATATTTGTGACATCAGATTCTTGCCTGGTTAAGCCTAAGGAGCAGATCCACAAAAAGAAATTAGTTTCTGCATTTGAATTATGGAGGATGAGCTCGTTTGGATAGATTTAAAAACATGGCAAATTTCAAGGCAAACCATTCCAGGTAGTATCCCCCCTTATTTATAACAATTCATTCCATTGCAGAAATGAAGCCTTTAGAATATGGGAGAGAATGAGACCTGGATTACATAATATTTAATCTAATTTGTACTAGAAAGAGTTAAATTAAGAATAAAATTAGGCATATAAGTCTTAAAAATAACAGTTTATCTGTAGAACAAGTCTATTCTTTTATGTTCCATATTATTTTACAGGATTTTTACTCTCTTTTAATCCACTTTTGTAGAACTCCTAGATTTTCTTCAAGTAAACATTAGGATTTTTATATTATTATCTTATCCAGTTAAGACTAAACAGCAAAGAATTTCCAGTCCAACAAGCAATGTGAAGAACAAAATTTTGCCAAGAAAACAAAATACTTTTGTTAGAGGAAAAAAAACTTGCATCTTACAAACTTGCTCTTACAAGTTTAGTAGATTCTGAGCTGATAGAGAATAGTTGCAGTGTGGTGCTTCTCCCCAAGGATCAGTGGTGCTATTACAATAGTCAACACCCAGCAAGCATATCTCCACTCAGAGTTCAGGCTTAGGAATTTGAGCCCTATCTCTTGAAATTGAGCTCCATTCATTCTACATCCCACCTCACATGTACCACTATAAAAAACACTTTATTGGGCAAAAAGTGTAACGTATTGGTACAAACAGAAAAGAACACCTGCCTTTTGCCACTAGGAAAAAGTACTTTAAAAGCAAGCTTTTTAAAAAATAACAATATATCTTTTCAAGTTATTTCCAACTTAATTTTTCACTTAAGTTTCACAAAACAAAAAATTTCATCCAGTATTTCAAAGGGAGAGGGAGCTGGAAAGCCAGCCACTAGCAGCAGCAGCCACCTAGCAAAAGGACTGCATCGCCCTTGGAGCGAGATGTCCCAGATTTTGCAAAAAAAGTGCTGGTACTGTTGCTTGGGAGGTGCAAGATTAGAAATAATCTTACTCCATTCCCAAGAGGAGAGCTCCATAAGGCAAGGTGTATGATAGGGGTTAAATCATGTACGTACTGCAACTATAGCAGAGAAACCAGTTAAACTTTTGCTCGAATCTGATGTGGCCAAAACATCTGCCTATCACCTCATAAACGTCCCTACACTTCTGTTCCCTTTACAACAAAGGAATGAAGGTACATTTAAGGCACATTTAATAGCTAGCAGGTGTTTGGCTGTCAAATGCCACATCTGGAGAAGCTGTGTGCTGTTAATGTGAACAGAAACAATTTAACAGTTTTGCTTAATTTCAGGAATTACACAAATCACAACAACAGAAGAGGTGAGTGTTTTTAATGGAAACACATCTGGTTTTTTTGAAAATAAGCAAAAATAAAAAATTGGGGGGCGGGGGGGAGAGGGGGAGCGGGGGAGGGCAGTGGTTAAGTGAAGCCGCACCTAATCCATCCCGTCTCAGTAGAGAAGTAAAGCTAACTGATACACAGGCACTTAGTGTCTCCCAGCCTTTGACTATTTCTCTCAACAAATATGCAACATGTAAAAAGACAACAACTAACTGGTTCACATTAAACGCCACATTCCTTATCACATGGTGCTGTTTCCCTCTGAGCTGGGAGGTTCCTATTCTCTGGGACAGGGTTTCAATGTTGCCACATCACTCCTGTACCCTATACAGGCTGTACATCAGGAATGTATCATTCCCCTTCATTGGGATCTTCTGCTTAATTATACTACCAAGACCATAATCAAATTTCTTCCTGATGGACTGCTGTTAGGCTGAGTTCCAACCTCAGGAAAGCCAATTAAATTTTTTTTTACCAACTTTCTCAGGCTTTACATGAGCCATGAGCAAGTTACAGATGTCTGTCTCTCTAAAGAAGAAGTAAATGGAGCACTGTCACCCAGACTCATCACCCAGGACTCACATAGTTGCGTGTGGATCACTAACAGAAAGGGAAGTGTTGTCATGAAAATCAATCAAATGGAAAGCTCAGACAAGCAGAGCAAGCAGGTGCTTTCTGAGCAGATGAATTCTCCCACTGAAACGCATACATGCAGGAAGTTGGTGGGAGACGGCAGGAAAGCACTGAAAGAACTGAAAACTAAGAGTTTAAAAAACAAGAATAGTGACAAATCTGGGTTTGGCTGTTTTTTTTTTTTTTTGGTGTGTGTTTTTGTTTGTTTGCTTGTTTATTTGTTTTGGGGTTTGTTTTTGTTTTTGTTTTTTTCCCAGTGCTTGCTCTTTTTCTATGAAGTCAAATAACCAGAAAAGCTGGTATGCCTTCTAGGACATTTTCTTAGCCTCAGTAGGGACCTTGTTGAAAGGATTCCCTTCCACAGCCCTTTCTGACTAGATGCTTGCCCTGCAGATATAGCTTGAGCATGATGAGTCGATTCAGGTCTTACATATAATGATTTCTGTGGGAAGCTATGATTCTGATGTAATTACATGGCTGATGTTTTTACTTTCCACTACTATTCTTTCTTCTCCTGAATTGGGCATCACCACAAATAGAACAAGACTTATGCTAATCCCATTTACCCCCTAGTTCAGCCTCAGCCAGGATCTGGATGCAGCACCAACACCTTTCCAACCTGGGCTCACAGCTGGGCTGCACCCTTGGAGGAAAGCAAGTCCATGATTCATTTGGGTCTGTCTCCCACACAGGCCTGAGGTATTTTCAGTGATGTACTAACAATGCTAGCAAAATCAACAGATGAACACCATTGGGAAATGCAGCCAAGAAATTTAATGTACAGTAGCTGATGGAAGACTGTCAAGTCAAGCCAACTTCTTGCTGGTGGTAGCTGTTAGGCAACAGAGCTGAAAGGCAGAGAAAGCTTGCTGCACAGCTGTTTGCAGCATAGGTCTGGGGCTTGAACTGCCAGCAACTGGCATACAGTTTCACCAGGGGTGCCATTGCCAGATGGGAACCTGAGGCCTCCTTCTCTTCACAGGTTGGAGTCAAACTACACTGGCAGCAGTTCACAATGTCCTAAATAAATGGGAAATCCCAGCCCACAAGGGATGTCAAATCCAGTTATTTCACAATAAACTAACCTGGGAAATATGCTTCTTACAGGAAGAAAGGAGGTTAAGGTATTATTTCTTAGGCTTGCCCAAACAATTTACAGTTACCTTAAAACAATTTCTCTTTTTATCTCTCTCTCAAACCCACACACTATACTTAATGCTTTTTAATCCTTCTCAGCTACCTCAAAAATACTTACTTGTTTTTGGCCAGAGGTCATCTTGCAGAATTCAGCATTCATGGAAACACTTGGCACCATCACTTTTCTTAAAGCTCCTTATTAGTCACTGACAGTCTTAGAAAGGCATTGCCATCATCCCAGCCTCATTAGAGGCTGCAACCATAATGTGACCTCTTTATCTCTATATCCTACAGTACAATCTCTTTTACTGCCATTATCAGTAGAACCACAAACAATCTCTTTTATTGCCATTACCATTAGAACCGATACTAGTTCATAAAGATGCAGGTGCTCAAAGAGGTTGTGCAATCTCCATACTAGGAGATGTTGACAAGTCAACTAGACAGGCCCTGTATTCTCTCGCCCTGTTTTGAGCAGGTGGTCATTCCAGATTATGTCCAGAGATCCCTTCCAACCTGCACTATTCTCTATGATTTTGCTCTTCTCAGTATAGTTCCATCTTTCATTTATCTAAACAGAACTGATACAGATCTCCAGGGGGGGAGAGGAATGAGAAAAAAAAAATGTACTAACCTGGATCTCTGGAAGAGAAAATAATTGACATATGCACAAAACACAACTATATATTTCTAGTAATGCAATGTAAATTACTTTTTAAAAAATAAAAGTTTGTCTATGTAAAATTAAGATAGTTAATACCTTTCCATCTCAATACACTGATGGGGGCACAGTTCTAGTCAATCCTCTGCATCTTTATTCTTCCCCTTGAGCTGCTCACAGGGAACCTATTAAAAACAGGGAGAGAAAAAAAAAAAATCAGACTTCAAGAAAAAAAAGACTAACAGTCTAGGAAGAAAAATTTAAGTACATGATTACAACAAGAAGAGAGAACTGTATCTTGCTTGCATTTCTGTTTTTCTATTCATATATTATAAATGGCTGATAAGCAAGCCAAGAGTCTACTTCCCAGCGTCATCCTTTCTCAAGTCTACCACTCTGTCAGGGACAGTCTTGCAAGGGTAGGAACAGTAACTCTGGGTGCAGTGGCAAGAGTCTACCCAAGGAACAAAGCTGTCAGCAGTCAGAGGAACATTGGAAGTCTTGCAAAAAAGGACTTTTATTATTTATCCTACAAGAATCAACTATCTTACATGCTCTGGAGTTTAAGTGTGTTTTCATGCTAATGAGAAAATTCATATGCTTCATCAAAGCATCCAGTAAAATTACTGCTCCAAATCTAAAAGGATTTGAGTAATATGTCTGATTAAGATCACTTGGAGAGAAAAGGAGTTGTTGTGCACAAGCATGTTGCTCAAGAATGATAAAATCTCCTAATAACCTTTCCTCTGGTCAGAGCCACTTAGTGTCTAGCACTGCATTTCCAAAAAGAAAGGATACAAGAAAATAAAACACCCCTCCCAGAGAACAGGACACACACCAGGGAAAAAATAAGCAGTCCACATTCAGATATTCCTTTTTGGATGAAAAATCCAACAGGGAAAACAGTAATGTTTAGTTGTTTTGTTTTTAATTTTATGAGGCACCACCCACTCTCCATCACAAGTGGGAGAACAGATGGCAGAATGAATGAGCCAATGCCCCCTCATGCAGAGGAATCATTATCCTCCTGTGCTGCAGGTGGGTAACAGCCCTGGGTATGCTTCTGCAGGCTATGGGGGACATCTCTAGCTCAATAGAAAAAGAGCCCAGAAGCCTTATTCTCCTCTTCAGATCAAAATTACAAACTGTATCATATGATAGTTGCTGGAATTAGAAGACTGGCAGGTTTCATAAGATCTACTGTAAGGATACTTACAATTGTGACCACTGGAAAAAAGTGGGGAGCCATAAAGAGTGAAACCTGCTATTTATAAGCAAGTAAGTGTTCACTTACAAGTCACTGTCTTTATTGGTAACATCAACTTAATGTGAAAACACAGCTGAACATTTTATAGAAACCATGCTGCTTCATCTATGGGCAGAGCAGAAATTTAAAATGAAAGGTCGCCAGGAGAAGAACTGAGGTGTTTGGCATCACTCCCCCCTCCTAACTCCCATTCCTGCAGGCATTTCACAGATTTCACATGTATCTGGTAATCACTAATTACAAGGATCCCATTAACAAAAAAAGTCAATTCAGTTTCATGTGAAACTTGACTCCATCTTGCCTAAGTTTTATGAGTGTCTGTTTAATCATAACAAAAACATGCTGAAGTATGGAAAGCTGTGTTAGTTTGCTTTCAATGGGAGCTGCACATACTGGGTACTAATGAGAATTAAGCCTTATCTTGGTGCCTAAATTTGGGTTTTAGGTGTCTAACTGAAGAACAAAATTTGTAAAACATTGACCTAGAACGAACACCCCCTGCAGCCACTGAAACAAGAACAAATAAAATTACTAAATGAAATCCGACCATGCTTGTCGGAATTAAAAAAACAACAAAAATCCTTCATATTTCAGAATGCCCCCCACCTCTAATTCATCCCACTGGGCTTAGACATTTTGGCAGTCTCAGCTGCATTTGACAAGTTACACCTAGCATTGCAGCCCATGTGCTGGAAAACAGGTCATGTGAAAGGGATACAGGTTAGCAGTTGCTGAAAAGACAACACCTGTATTGTTAAAATTCATGCAAGAAGCAAGGAAACTTCTGGAAAACTGAAAGGGAAGAAAAAAAAAAAGAAAGTAGTGAAGAATACAGAGAAAGCTATTTATCAAATATGTCTGTTCCTGTTCACTGACTGGTGAACCAGGTCTGTGAGATTGCTGCACACTCCCCTGCTGGAAACCTGTAGTGCGTACTCCAGGTTTTCCATGGCACAGCTCTGCAGAGCTGGGAAAACACACAGAAAGAAGCTGCTAAAGCCAGCAATTCCCAAATCTCTCTGTGGTCCAGCTGCACACCCAACCAGCACAAACAAGCTGCTCTCCAGAAGTCCTGTCGCTAACATCTGCTGGGGTGGGGTTATCCCCTCTGCCCCTGCTGCTTGACAAAGAATGCTGTACATCTTCTGACTCTTAGTCATATGCAGATGTTGCAGCGTGTCCCTCAGTGCTGGGCACCTTGATTTAATGCATGCCTATACAAGCCAGCGCAGCTATCAGAAGCTATTAGATGGTCAGAGCATGGGAGTACATCCACCCTCTCCTACCCAGCCTAAGATATGGGGCAAAGTAGTAAAAAAGTGTCTGTACTGAAAGCCAGCAAGATCGGCCCAGCGGAGTATGGCCAGGCTAATGCCAGCTCAACATCATTGTCACTCACTTCGATTTGCCTTTACTGTTTCCCAAACTGATGCACAAGGGCGTGCTACTGGAGAGTAACGGCTTTGCCTTTCCTTTCTGATGGGCTTTTTGGTAAAGTATGCCAATTCTGAAGAGCCTTTTTTTTTTTAATAATTTCTAATTCTTCACAACAGAAAAAATTCTCCGCAATGAGTCTGACCTGTGTTGGTAGCACAGGTTGTGCTAAATCTAAATCTACACTTATGAAATTGAGTGAAAGAGATGCAATCAGGTTATCATACCATGTTGTAGTGGTTTAAACTCAGCCACGCAGCTTATTCACTCACCCACACCCCCTTCTTGCCCTCCCCCTACTCCCGGAGGGACGGAGAGGAGAATCGAAAAGAATGCAACTCCCACGGGTTGAGATAAGAACAGTTTAGTAACTAAGGTATAACACAGATCACTGCTGCTACCACCAATAATAATAATGATAAAGGAAATAACAAGGGAAGGGAATACAACACCTCAGCACCAGCTGACCAATAACTCACCCCACTCCCCCTAGCCGAGCACCGACCGATACCTCATCCAACCCTGCAGTCCCTCACCCTTTCAGGTAACACTCAGTTACATCTGGGCATGACGTGCTTTGGTATGGAATACCTCTTTGGCTAGCTTAGGTCAGGTGTCCTGTTTCTGCTTCCTCCCGGCTTCCCCTCCTCCCTGGCAGAGCATGAGGCTCACAAAGTCCTTGGTCAGACTAAAATATCAGTGTTATCAGCTCTGGTCCCAGGCCGAAAGTCAAAACACAGCGCTGCACCAGCTACTAAGAAGGAGAAAAATGACTGCTACTGCTGAACCCAGGACAGTATCCACCCCTTACTCCATACCATTCACGTCATGCTCAGATCCCACATTTTCAATATACCATTACTCTTATCTCAGTGCGCTCTTATCTTAGTGCATGGACCAGTCCCTATAAAGCTGCTGAGTCCATCTGGTCCATGATGTCAGGCTCCATCTCTTGTAACAGTCTTTCAGAGCAGGAGAGGCTGTGTGCAGTGTTCACACTCGTGAATCATCCGGGCAATAGTGTCCATTGCTAAGTCCACCCCTCGATCATGAGTCCATCCCTATGTTGCATCTCTGCTCTGCTGGCCTGAAGTGCCATGGGCCCACCACTCAAAATAATTCACTGTCCCCTTCAGGAGTTTTTGCAGCTTGTTGCTGGGGACTCTATACAGTTGCCTTCCTTCTCCGATGCTTCCAAAGCACTGGAGGAGCCCAGCGGACTAGATACTCGCCCACACTGTCCCACACACCCTGCCACTCATGACTGTCCAGCCTTGGGGAAAATCTCCTGGTCCTCCTATATCGTCATCTAACCCTAGACAAGACCCAAACCTGACTCTGCTTAACTTTTGAGATCAGACAAAATGGTCATGGGTAAAACACAGTTTGTATGTGTGCCAACACGCTGATCCCCATCACAATCAGCAGGAAGGTCCCAAGGGTACCCAAAGGCCATTCAAAACCTCAGAACTCTCAAACGATGCTGCTGTACTTGTCACTGGGGCTGGTGTAGCTGCTGTGCTTGCCGGCTCTCCCACCACCAGCTTCCTTTTTTCGGAGTCCAGATCTTCCTCCTCTGCCTTGCCGGTAAATGCTGTGTGGTCTCTTGCATCCTCCTGGCGCTCGGCAGACGGCTTCCGGGGAATGCTCTCGGCTGTCGTGGGACTGTGCTCGGCCTCGGGGATCGGCTCCTCTGCAGGGCTCAGCTCCTCTGCCGCCTTCTCCCGCTGCTCGGCAGCCGCCTCCTTCTGCTCCTCGACTGCCCCGACCTCCTCCACCTGCAGCCGCTCCCTGCCGGCCTCCAGCCTCCTTGGTCCCAGGGTCCGCTCTCGCGGGCCGCTTTGGCTGCCACTTGCTCCCGGTGCCGCTTCCCCTCGGCTCCCCGCAGCCTCACGAAGACGGGGGCAAGGACGAGGGCCAGGATGGTGAAGAACATCGGGACGGCCAGGTACAAGTCCACGGCCACAGTCGTCCCGCCCTGCTGCTGGAGCCTGCCTGTATTACAAGTCATTGCCATAAAGTACAGTGAGACAAGAACCTTAGCCGAAGCCCAACACCTGATGAACACTAACACAGCAAATACTGGCTCTAAGTAAGTTACAACATTCTGAAACTGTGAGATCAAGAGAAAGAACTTTGAAAGCCAATAAATCAGCATTATGATGAATGACTATTAATCTGGTCAGATCTGTCGTTTTCTCAACCCTTTGTGCCCCACGTTGGGTGCCAAAAAGAACTGTAGTGCTGTAGTGGTTTAAACTCAGCCACGCAGCTCCTCCACTCCCCCCCCCTCCCCGTGTCCTGCCCCTACTCCTGGAGGGATGGAGAGGAGAATTGAAAAGAATGCAACTCCCACGGGTTAAGAACAGTTTAGTAACTACGGTATAACACAAATCACTACTGCTACCACCAATAATAATAATGATAAGGGAAATAACAAGGGAAGGGAATACAACACCTCAGCACCAGCCGACCGATAACTCG